GCCTTTGGGATCAGCTCTGCTTCCTCCCAGGTGAGGAGCCCTGAGCTCAGGGATCCACCTCAAACAGGCTCAGATGTTTCGTGTGCTCTTCTCCTCCACAGAGCTCTGAAAGCTGCTGGCAGAGAGCAGCACGAGGGAAAAGATGAGGAGATTGGGCCTTTCCTGCCTCACCTCGGTGCAGGTTGAAAGAAAAAGGACCTGAATTCATTTTTATCTATCTTTATTTATGAAGCTCCCATACCATTTCTGATTGGAATCAAGTGGAAATGTTTGGACACCAAATTACAAAAAGATCTGAGCACATCCCTTGGGCTCCTCACACCCCCCCACCTTGACAAAAGCTGTTTATCCACAAATGTGTTTTCTTAAAAAAAATCAAAGCTTGCAAACAGTGTTCCCAGGTATTAAACACACCAAAAGTATCTCCTAATGCAGACATGGGATTTGCTTGGCAAACTTGTGTGTCAGGAAAAGAGAATTTTGCAAAGTTATTTTATGAAAATATTAAATTCATTTGACTAAAAATGCCAAACTTGTAACTAAAAGACTTTGTGGGAGGGAATGGTGGACGAGGAGGCCTTTGCAGCCTTTTTGTTGTTCTGGCAAACTATTTACAGCATTGGCCAAACACATGGAACAGTCTTAGGGGACAGACTGCTCCTTCAATCCAACAGTGATATGAAATAAGGTCTAAAAATTACCAGGCTTGAGAAGGAAAGGATTTTAACCATCATTCTGAAAGACAGCAGGATGCCCAAATGAGAGAAGAGTCAGTAACCAAAGTGCCTCATCATCAGGATTACTGCAGATCAGCAAAAAAACCAAGAGATGGATGCAAAGTTACACAAAATTCAGTTTGCCCACCCAGTTCTGAGTCATGGTTCCTCCTTGTAAGAATCAGTTAGGAAGTTGCATTTTATTCTTAGGGATATTTGAGTCTTTAACTAACCTACAAAACTCAGTGTTAAATTAGAAATTTTACAGAGCTTGATTCCAGGTTGTAGCTGCTACCAGAAACCAGCCAGTTATTATATGGTTACCTGTGAAACAGCCCAAATTCTCCTTAAATTCAATGTACTGCTGGAGCTGGACAGATTCTGCACAGAGCCATTAGGAAACCTTAGGGATTAATAAGTAAGACATCTTCCTGTTGAGAAAGGAAATACCTGCTTGTGGCTATCCCATTCAGAACAGGGAAAATCCATGGAAGTCCTTGAAGTATCAAGCAACTGCTCTCGTCTACACTGCAGAGCCAGCAGCAGCCTCACAGCCAAGCAATTCTGCTTCCCCTCCCAATCTCTCTGCCATGTCACAGCACCGTGAAACATTTGCTATCTTCCAAATATTTCTCCCCTACAGCAGGGAATTGTTTTATTATCTATCAGAGAAAGGAAAGACAAACTCCATAAAACATCCCAGACAGCTGCCAGTATTTCATGTAACTGCCCAGGAGAAGAGGGAAATACAGAAATATTTCATACAATGATCACATTAAAACTCCAAGTAATGATGCTTTACCATCCAAAGACATGGATAGTGAAGGTGCTGTTGCTAATCTCTCCTAAATAAATGGGCTGATTGCAGAAAAATAGCAATGAATCGATCAAATTCTTTGCACCGTACAAAGATTTTCTTTAAAACCTTTCAGAATCTTCTGTGTGGGGAATCACATTACAGGGACTGTTTTCATGCAAAAACTATGCATGTCATTTATCAATCACACAATGAATCAATCAGACACTGGATATGTAATGCTATCTCCAGGCATTAAAGCTGTGAGTGAAACGCCACGAGCTTTGTAAGAGCGGTGTCAGGAGATAAGGCTGGCTTAGATCAGCTCAGAGCAAGCACTGTGCTCCAACTCCAGCCCAAACCTGGGATTAATATTGTGCTGCCCAGAGCTCTGTGGTGGTGCTTACTTAGAGAAACTGGGCGAGCAAAATAAGCAGAAATTTGTGTGCAGCTGCCTGCAGCTCTGCTTCCTTTCCAGCCTCTCTTTCTGCCGTGGGATTCCCGAGGTTTGTCTGGGCTCAGTCCTGTGACACAGGAGGGCAGCAGCAGGCTCAGGAAATTCAGGAAGGGCTGAACACACATCCCACTAAGGGGTTGTGCTGGCTAAGTGAAATCTTTGTTATGAAGTAAAAGCAGGGTTTGCTCTGCTCTCCCACCAACGAGGCTCCCGTGGGGTCAGAGGTGTTGTGGGGGTGTAGACTAAGATATCACAGAAGAGAAAGAAGGGTTGGCATGTTGGGGCTTGGGGAGGGGGCAGTTTTCTTCCAGTCCACACCATTTCTTGTTCTGGAGCCCAGGATGGTCACCATCCTCCCTGATGGAGATCCTGTGCTCTGTGGATTTCGAGCTCAGCACCATCAATCAAGCTTTCAGAACTCTGGCACTCTGGGTCTGGTGTCGAGCACATGAATTCCATCCTGGGGAGACAACGTGGTAGCTGGAAGCAGATGAGGATGGAGCCTGATTCCATTGCCTTCACTCCCTCCCTGCAGAAACACCTCCTACAGGCACCAGGACATCCTAGAGCAGCACTGAGGAAGGTGTGAGGCACGTAAAGAGCTGGTTCTGCTGCAGCTGAGCCACGGCTCAGCCTCTCTCCTCCCCAAGGGCAATAAAAGCACTGGTCCCTCATGAGTCATTTTTCATTTCATTTGCTCTGTGTTTATTTTTGCTTTTCACCTTCTGATCCAACTCTCATATTACTAAAAGCAGAGGGTTACTTTTATTACCTCATTTGGGCACTGATCTTACAATTTGGATGAACCAGCTCACCCTTGTAATAAGAAAGATGAGACCATTGCTGGTTATATCCCCATTTTTAGGGGGGCTGCTATAACAGCTGAAGAGGAGTGGGGAAAGAAGAAACCTCAGGCTGGTCTTTCCCATTGCCATCCCCTGAGCTCACCTTGGTCACTCTGGGCTGAAATTCAAAAGAACAAAAGCAGCAAAGCACCTCAACTTCACCTCCCTCCAGAGGGAGCAGGACTGTGGCAGGAAAATCCAGCTCTGCTTGTGGGGAAGATGAAATTCCACATCTGCCTTTGCAGAACAAACCTGCAAAAATCCAGTGGGAAACAGCCTCTGGCACTGGCAGAGATGTGTGTGCCCATCCCACCCCTCCTGTGTTCCTCAAAACAGCTTCAGGTTGTTGTGGTGGTGAAATGAGACATTACAAGAAGACAGTATGGACAGCTGAGAGACAATTTCACATCCAGATCATCCAGCAAAACAGGGATCTTCCTCCAAAATCCAGAGCAGGAATGCAGACAACACCAAACAAACATAAGCACCTTTTAAATGATGCTGGCTATTGTTGAATAATAACAACTGAGTTCATTAGATTGCTACAGAGATCAAACTGAACTTAAATTAACCTTGAAAAAAAGGGGGAATCAGCATATTTCTCTTGTGCACAGCACCAGCAGTCATGTACTGTTGCTTCACTCTCTGTTTCATCGCTACAGTCAATTTTTGCAAAGCATCCACAGCTTTTCAAACAAAGTGGAAGCCAAAAGATTGATAAGGACCTTGCTGGGCTGTGCTGCAGAAGGTCTCCTTGCGAAGACATGGTCTTTAGTACTTCAAAAACAAAGGCAGTAACTCATTTTCCTCTGTAAAAGCAAACCCCTTTGATGAACCTTGCTCCCAGCTTGGGTCTGTGTGGGAGCAGAGGGAAGTCAGGAGGAAAACCACCACAGCAACACGAAGTGTCTGACTGCAGCACTAAATCAGAGACATGACACGCTCCGCCTGACTTCCCAAAGGGATTGGGGCAGGTGGAACCTCCTTCCCTCTCCCCAGAATCCTGCCAGGCCCCAGCTGAGGCTGCCATCAGTCCTTACACGTTGTTACCCACACAAGTGCTGAGCAGCACAAGCCAACAGAGCGAGGAGTGATGTCAGGACAGTCTCTGGTTGTCCTTTTCCAGTGAGCCAGACAGAGAAAATCCTGGAAGGCGAAGAAAGGTACAGCTGGCCACAGCCTGGGAGGGAAGGGCTGATTCACATCTCTCTGAGGCCAGGCCTGTGTCTTTCTTGGATTCAGGATGCACACACAGGGATCACTCACCAGCCCCTCTCTCCTGCCCTGCCCCTGCTGCTCAAACCCAGCTCCCTTTTGTCCTTTGCACTACACCAGTTGTTTCCACTCGAACAATCTTACCCCCAGAATTTCATTCCCCCCACCCCTTCATTTTCCTGCAGTGAAATATAACTGCGAAGGCTTTGAGGAGGCTCCAGACTTCATTTCAGCACAAACAATTCCCAAATTACCATAATATCATGTACTGGCCTCAAAAACACCACACAACCACCACCTCCCTCCACAAAGGTTTCTCCCTAAATTCTTTTATGTCATTGATAAGCATCAGTTAATGAATAATAACTGCAGTAAATGCCTTAAAGGGACCAAAGCATGAGAAGTAACAGCAAGGAGTGGGCTGTCACAGGAGGGACCACAGATCAAAGGGGAATGCTGACTCAGCTGCTTTGTTGCTAGGCTGGAACCATTTATCTGAATCCCAGTAGGTAGAAATTAAAACTATTTGTAGGAAAAGAAAAAAAAAACCCTCCACAATGTAAAGGTCTCCCCCTAATATTTGTCTCCACTAAACTATGAGAGCCTCCCATCCTTCAGAAAAGGGATAAAAAATCAGGACTGGATTGCACTTGAAGAAATACAGCAGAGAAGAGGGAGGGCAGGTGTGACAGGCAAGCAGTGACAAATAAACATGATGACAACACATGGCATGGTATTTCTGAGCTCTGAGCATTGTTTGGAGGAGCAGGACTGAGGCAGGGATGCAGCCACATGGGAAGGGGAAGGGAAGGAGCAGGGCTAGAGGTAAAGAATGTCTGATTTTCTGGGGCAGAGCCACTGCCACGGAGAGAAGAGGCACCTGATCTCTCCAGGCCTGCCAACTCAACATGTTTTTCACCAGAAACTCTCGGAAACTTTGGTCAAAGAGGAGAATAAAGGCAGGTCCTTACCTTGGCCTCCAGCGTGTTCAGCCTCTCGGTCATATCAGCGAGCCTGGTGCAGTTCATGCATTCTAGAGAGAACAAAACACAGTACTGTGACACTGCCAGGGGCTCTGCATGTCCATCCACAGCTTCAGGCTGATCCCTTTGATCCAAGGCACATGGAAAAGTGGGTCAAGATCAATTATGGGGGAAAAAAAAATATTCAAATCTTCTGCACAGGTCACCAGCCACAGCCACGTTACATGAGCCTTGTTTGGGGATGTTTCAGAGTGTGAAATTAAGTTCCCAATATACAGAAGGCAGATGAAATAAAAATTGGTTTTAAGACTTTTCATGCTGCCAACCAGCATGCCCTGATGTCATAGGCAGAGACACTTGTCCTGCCACTGGTGCAGGTTGGCATGGCACCTGCTTCCACCTCACAGGACACCAGGCTGCACAATCTCCATTTAATTCTCTCTCCTCTACTATTTTCCTGATAAAATACCAAGGAAAGCAATGAATACACAAATGCCATTTGTGTGGAGTCCTGCTCCATCCCTGGGCTCCCAGGGCATGTTACCACTCCCAGACAAATGAGACAAAGCATCCATCCCAGGAAATCCAAGGCAGATCTGAGGGCTGATGCAGCCCAGAACTGAAGCATGAAGTGGTTTCCATCCCACTTTGCTGCAGAGGAGCAGCAGACACTCGGCAGCCACCAAAGGAGTCCTGACAAGAGGCCTCAGTGAGAACAAACATTGCCAGAATGAGCTCTGAGTGCAGGTTAAAGTGATTGCTCCCTCCAAAGGACATTCCTTATCTAAACAGAAGGCCTGCTGCTTTGCCTCTGGTTTCATCTCAGCAATTTTAAAGTGAGTGAAGGAGGATAAAGCCCTGAACAGAGATTTAATCAACAAGGCACTTTGCAGCAGAGTGGAACTGCCCACTCCCAGCTCTCAGAGAAGCTTTCCACACTGGACCTCTCACCTCACATGGCTTCTGAAGCCCAGCAGTTCTCAAAAAGGGAAAATGATGTGCAGCATGAAGCATTTCAGAGGACAAACCATCCATATTCAGGTGATCAATCACAGCTCATGCCCCATAGAGGAGAAATCCATCTCTGTGTGCACTTTGTGCCCCTTAAGGGCCAGAGCCTGTTGTCATTGATTGGCCCTGGAAGTTTTTAACTCTGGTGGTCCCACAGGGCTGGGAATGTTGACCTGCAGTTCTTGAGCCCCTAACAGACTGCTCAGGAGCAGCTGAGGCTGCAGTGATGCAGAGGATCCCAGGGAGCCCAAAGCTTCCCTATGGTGAGGAATGGGTGAAGGTGGATTTTGGTCTGAGTGAACACCCCAACACTTGGGCCCAGCTGTTCTCCCCTAACAAGTCCTGTCCCCTGTTGCACAAGGCCCCCCAGGGGACCCCTCCAGTCTCTTGCTGGCTTTATGGAGCACATTGCATGCCCTGGTGGCTCTCAGCCACACAAAGATTTGAGTGCATGGCTTGGAAGAACAGGAAGCTGGGCTGTTCCACCCTGGTGATTTACAGGGAAAAAGATTGTTTGAGTGCTAACAGCAACTCCCTACATCCACTTTCCAAAGGAATTCTCACGCTGGCCCTCTATGAGGAGCTGTGTAGCTTCCCAAAGGAGCCAGACATGGATATTCCACCTCATAATACACAAGATTTTGCAGACAAAGCATCTGATGCTTGAGGAACGCTCAGATGGAAGGATTTCCTCACAGGTTGATACTGACATGGACTTTCTTTTACCCAACAGCAAATAACATTTCTTTATTTTTGTTTTTATTTTTGTTCATTTTTATTTTCTACAATAGATGCTGGGCAATATTTTTTGGCTTGAATTAACCCATGAACATGCAAGTGCCATAAATGCACTGTCCTGTGGGGAAGGAAATGGGTGAGGCTTGTTTGGTCTGGATCTGCTTGTGGTGTGTGAAACAGGGAATTAGTTTCTGTATGTAACTGGCTTCAGGCTTTTGATCTTGCTCATCCCCACAGAAAGATAAGACTGAATAAATTCACTGCTCTCAGGAGCCAAAAGATGCATCAGATGTGTTACAGAGCAAATAAAATACAGAGTCCTATTCTCCCTTCTGCTGGCTTGCACATATTAGTAACTCCCACAGGTTTAGAGAGACTGACTTGAACTGTCTGAAAACCATCCCTGCATCTCTGAGATGGACTGACCACTTAAGGTTCCTCTGGAGAGCTCAGCTCATTAAAAAAGGGTTTTTACCACTCCTGTGCAGAGGGGTGAACCAACCAGCTCCCCAGGGCAAGGACAGGGTTCAGGGACAGCACCAGTCCAGCAGCTCTCTCTGCTCTTGAAGAGTGTCTCAAAGAGCCCTCTCAGGTGCATTTGCAACAGGAAAGGTTTGATTTAAATGGGCAAAGTGACAGAAGAGGAGATAAACCAGCAGGGTTGTTGCATGTGATATTTGTACTAATATGATCTTCATGTCAGGGGTGTTGACACAGGCAGAAAACACAGCCTGGGTCAGAAAGAGAACTACTTCAGTTCAAGCTGGATTTGATCTCTGATCCTTTCTGTTGTGAAATGCCTGGAAACCCAGATCCACACCCAAGGTACTTAGACTGGGCCCAAAAGACATTTAAATAATCCTGGAAGTGGATATTCCTAATGCAGAAGAGTCCTGCTCTAAGGCAAGAGTCCTGCCAACAAACCCATGTGACATTTATTTATCTGACCAACAGGCAGACAAGGCTTTCAAAGGCAGGGATGAACGCTCAGGGCTGCAGTGTCAGACACTCCATTCAAAGCTCCCTCACAACACACCAGGGACCTGTTCAGGGTCTGGGGTCCACATCTGTCCTTGCAGAAAGCCTGAGAATGGTGGTGACAAATCAAGCTAATAAATATCTTCCTTAACCACGCTGCACTGAAGCATTTAGTGTCTTGATGGCTGGTGGTTCCAAGGCCTGGGACTGTGAAGCTGAATTTTCTGATCAGGGTGAAAGCAATCTGTGTTATTAAAAAGAGCTTAAGAATCTCACATCATTATTTCTCATGGAGCAAATATAACAGGGGGGCAAATGCACACACTCTCTGACCTGGGACTGCAGAGCAGACGTTTTCCATATCTGCAGATATCCATCACTTGTTGCTACACAGAACCACAGTTTATTTCCCTTCTACTCTTAGTTGGCAGATTTGTATTTTTCCAGCTAAACTCTGAGAAAGGAGTTGTGATTTCACTCTATGAATCCCAGCCTCAAAACACATGGTAGGATTTGTTTTAGAAATATTCCAGCAGGGAGGATAAATAAGTGAGATAATGAACATGAGACAGTACCAGCATATCCTGTGACAGCCAGTCTGTCTCCACGATGTCTCGCAGTTACTGTCCCAGCACATCTCTTCCCTTCCCATTCCTCCTTTCAACTGGAATGCAACTGGAAGGATGGAAAATTCTACTGCAGAGGAGACGTGGAAGATTTCACATCCTGGAAAATAACAACCTTGGTACCCTGTACCAGCTGTGACCCCCTTAACCCTGACACAAAGGTTGATACATTCGACCCATCTTTGATTAAAGATGAGCCTCCAGTGCCGCAACTTTGCCAACAGACATCAGATGTGTGCCTGAGCTTCCAGTCTGGATACACCCCTGTGAGTGACCTAAAGCAGTGAATGATGACTCTGGGTACCTTGTTAACCTGGCACTCCTGCTTTGCATAATTTCATTATTAAATACTTGCACACTTCAGCTTCTCAAGCCTGAAAGCCCCACAAGTCTTCAAACACCTCACTTAAATCCTAACGAGAGAAGTGTGGTAAAAGCTTGATACCAACAGGGCTCTAATGATTTCAGCACAGTTATCACAGTGGCACTGGGGGCAGTAAAAGAAGAACCAGCCCAGCTTTCACCATGGGGCCACAGGTCAGTTTTGTGTGAAAAGGCAAAGAAACCTCTTGGCACCTCTGCCCCATTTCTCAGCTCTGACAGCCCACACTCATTTGTACACCCAGAGTCTCTGCAGAATATTAAAAGAGCTTTTGGTTTCCCTACAGCCAGATGCTCAGTAGATATAAATTGCATAGCTCAACTGAAGTCAAGGGATCAAGGCTCTGTCTCTCTTTTTCTTGATGGATTGCTCCAAAATTTGTGTTTCAGAGAGGAGGTGGAGGAGGTGGTTTATAGCATATGAAAGGGGAGAGAATTCTGGAATCACAAAGCCTTTGTTTAAACAAATAAAGTCTTTGCAGCCAGTTTTTTTCAAGACCATATTTTGCTATTACAAGAAACTTCAACCTTGCAATGCAATGGGGCGTAGCATGCAGGCAGGCTCGGGGACATGAGAATCACATCTGCAGCTCATGCTTCAACCTGCTCACACTCCAAACAACACACTTCCCTCCTCCCAGGCTCACTTTCCTTTCATCCATTGTTAGTTTAATGTAAAGAACCTGTAAAGGATCCAAGGTCAAAGGATGAAAAAGGACCAAATGTAACATATACGCAGAGAAACAAATGAAATAACTTGACTCTTTTGATACAACTTGCCTGGCAGCTCTTCCCCCTCCATCTAATCTAGTCCACCATGGCCATGGTCAAAGAGGGCAGGCTGGGTTATCCCCAGGGCAGGGGAGCAAACCAGAGCTGCCAACAGCCCATGTTGGAGTGCTGGGAAGGCAACAGCAGCTTCACTGTGTGAAACTCAACCCAGCAGCTCTGACTGTGCAGCACCAGCTCTGCTTGGAGCAGCTCCTGCACCACCACAGTCACGGCTCGGGCTGCACTGCCCTGGCAGAACAGTGACACACACTCCAGAAGGTCCAGCTGGAAGAACATTTTATCTGTCAATGTAAGCAGACCAGCTTTTCTCAGCAGACACACTCCACCAGGACAAGTTCAAAGCAGTCTCAGGGCAAAACTGGAAGAACTAAATTCACCCAGTCAACCACATTTCTTTGCAAAGAGAAAAGGATGAGCTCTAAACTCCCAAGGGAAATAGGAAGCACCATTAACTCAGTGAGCACCTAGGATCTCATGCACTGGTGTTTTATTTGACACTCTTGAGAGAAACCACCAGACCACAG